AAAAAAAAGATATAACTGCTCAACTGTCAATGAAACCAGTCCAAAACACTTTGTCATGGCTCCAAAGTTAAAAAAAAAAACACTGATATAGTATTCTCAGCTGAGTGCAGGGTCACAGTCAAGTCAAACAGTGGATTTAATTTGTATGACAGTCATTGACCTATTGATTGGCTATTTAACGCAGTGTGAGGTGCAAAAAGAGTACCAAATGTTTCCGCTTACATTTTTTACCTCTGTTTTTATTGCGCAGTGTTCAGTGAAATGAAAAAAGGCCTTGTGGGAAATATTAGTGATAACGATTGACTCAAAGCAAATTTCGAACAACAAAAATATGTCTAAAATAATAGCACTGTGTATATTGTAGCCTGCAATTAAACACTCTGTACTCTCTCTCTCTCTTGCCCTCTCACTCTCTCTCGTTTACATTGGATGCCTTTTGGCATGTAGAGCGCAGTAAAAGAGTCTATTGATTACTGTGGTTGTCTTGCATGAATGACTGTTAACGTCTCAGAGCGTATTGACTTTGTTGTAGAAGCCGAGAAACGTCCTCCTCCCTGCTGTCCCTCACTCGTGTTTCTCTGCTCCAGCACAGGATCCGCTCGCTAAACGAGCAGGAAATCATTAAGCATCTACACAGGCCAAGATGGCTACCAGTGGAGGTTTCACACAGTGCTTTCATTTCAGTGTGTTAGGCTGGTTCATGATGCAGTTAACAAACTGCTGTTTCCACATACAGCACTGCACAAATACCGGAGACCACCCTTCGTTATTTTATTTTCAAAACTGATGTTCAGTAAAAATGATTCATTTAAAATATATATTTAACAGAACATTACACAAAAGACTAAACAACTAAATCTAATCTCAGCTGTGTGAGTCAGTGAGTCACTCTTTCCCTTTATTCCACCTTCCATTCTTTTCAGGAGACTCCCTTTCAGTTCCTCAAAGAATCTGCAGACACACCTCCAAAGTTCAGTCTTAGAATCTGGTTGATCATTTTCTGAAGTAATAAAACACATTCAGTGATGTTGAGGTCTGGACTCTGGGGTGGTCAGTCCATTGTTCAGCTTCTTTGTTTGATGTGTCCGTCTCCTTTTCTCAGTGAGGTTCTTCTTGACAGCTACACATCCTTTCAGACCCACAGCGCTGAGTCTTCTCACAGTGGAAGGATGGACAGAAACACCTGTGGATGTTTTCAGATCTGAAGCAGCTTGATTTTCTCCTCTCTCTCAGAGATGAAAGCTTTAAGTGCTGTTTATCTGATGGGGGCAGTTTTGGGGTCTACCAGCTCTTCCAGGTGGCTGTTAGGAGTCACATTTTCTCTGGAGCTTTTAATCAGTTTTTAAACTCCAGTTTTGGAAACTCTTGTTTTTTGTTTTACCTTCTCCATCCTCAAAGAAATCCTGGAATACCTTATATCTTCTCAGAAATATCTCCAGAGAAATCAGCTTGTATTTAAGTTAAGCTTTTCACAATGGACCAATCACATTCAATTGAGTTCCACATTTGGCCATTCTGCTCAGCTCCAGAAAACCTCTATGTTATTTAAGAAAAGGTGCCAGAAAGGGTTTATTGTCACAGAAGAACATTTGATGAACATCCACATAATGTAAAAGTTCTATACCAATTAAAAGATTTTCCTAGAACTGTATGTCTGAGCCAAGAACCCTTCTGGAACCTTTATTGTTAATAAGGAGTACAATCAAGACTACCTGGTTCATATACTAGTGCAAAAACATCCAATTTGAGGTGTTTAGAGGACCATAAAGAATTCTGATTCTGATTCTAACAGTTAGAGAGACAGATACATGAATAGACTGTAGATCTTACATAGCAACAGTAAGATGATGTAATGACACCTTTTTGTTATTTCTATGTGTCAGTGTTGTAAAAATTATTAATCTGTATAGTTGCTATTTATCATTCTGTCATTTTAATACTTCATTTTGCTTAATATTTTTTGCATATAGCCTGCAGTGTTTTATATTCTAGTGTAAAAGTCAAATTTCTGTATTGTTTAATTAAGTTAAGTTAATTTACAGTAAAGTAACCTAATTTTGTCTGATAGATAGATAGATAGATAGATAGATAGAGAGATAGATAGACTGATTGATATATTAATTGATTGATTTGGCCTTAAATGCCGAAACAAGAATGATACATCACTTTTACTGTTGTCATTTTTTTGAAATCAACTTTGTAGGCCAACACAAGAATATATAGGACAAGCAAAGCATGCAAGAACATACAATAAACACAATGCAAAATCAACAAAAATCAAACAACATAAAAAATTACCTGGGGGCACTCAGATAACTTAGACAGGTAGATAGATAGATAGATAGATAGATAGATAGATAGATAGCTTGTTCTCCTTTTAAACTAAAACGTATTTTGTTTGCCATTTTGTTGCCATCATTATTGAGCTGTACAGAAGATACTGCAGTGAAAACTGTAGCAGAAATGTTGTGATGCCCTTTTAGCCCTGTTTCCCCTAATACACACTCGTTTTAACCCCCTCCCCCTGATACACCCCTGTTTTTACCCTCTATCCCCCACCTCCCCCGATACACCCCTGTTTTTACCCTCTATCCCCTCCTCCCCCGATACACACCCCTTTTTGCCCTCCCTCCTTCCTCCTCCAGTCTCTTGCTGACAGGCAGCCAGGGAGGCCAGTGCCATCAGGAGCTCGGCATCATTAGAAGGTGTTAATTGGAGTTAGTCAGAGTCTTCGCTTTCTGTCAAGAGTCTGACAACAGAATTCATTAGACTTAAAAATACCAGACCATCAATTCAGCTCAAATGGGATTTACTGATGAGGAAAGACTATAAAAAAAAGTTTGAACAACACAGATTCAGAGCAGGCCTCAGGCTGAGCCCTGTTTTAAACACACTGTTTTTAATCATGCTTTTTGAATTGGAAGCTCATCACCAGCATGTTTTTTTGAAGCATCACACGGAGACATGAGGAATGTGAAAACACAAGGACAGAAGTGAACTGGTCTCAGTCTGGATCAGGATAAACTCAGAAGATCTTCAGCTTGACCTTAATGCACAGAAATAGCCACAGGTCTGAAGTCACGGCTTCCATCTGAGCCTCTATTTAATGTTGTCTAGGTTTCACATGCTGGTTGTGGGTTTAGTTTTCGTGGCTCCTCTTTTGTGTAATTCATGTTTCATTGCTTTTGCAGTGTATATAGCATAACCTTATGCAGCAATTTACCAGACCCAGATTAAACCTAAGCCTAGACTAAATGGGATCTTTAACGGTGAAACACCATAGGTGGGTTTCCCAAAGCGAGATTAAAGTTAAGCTTAGGATAAAAAGAATTTCCAATAGTGATTGACTATTGGTCCTGCAGTTTAGTCTGGGACTAGGTTTAACCATGCCTGGAAAACTAGTCCTATTGTTATTACAATTTAGTCCAAGTCTATGCTTAATTAGGGTTTGGGAAACTGGCCCCATTGGTATTAAGGTTTAGTCCAAGACCAAAGGTTAGTCAAAAAAAATGTAAAGACTGCAATTTAAATAAAGCCTTATTTACTTTTCCACGGTGTAAAAATGTATGCTGTTTCCAATACAATAATTTAATGTTTAATATGTCCAATAAACCCCCAATAGTAGTAACATTTATTTAATTTCTCAGATTATTTTAGTGCTTTTAGAATCTTGAATTAAAGCGAGTGCTATTTTTTATGCTTCTTTTGAGCACAAAGAAGTTTTGTGTACACCGCGAAACATCACTAAGCTGGTTGATTTAAGGTATTGAGTCCCCTGAAACGCTACTAATAAGTGACACCAACACAAACCCGCATTATGATGAGGCCTAATTGCACTGAGAAATTATCATGAGATCATATTTAGTTCAAACGATCCAGATTTGGCTTTTGCCTCACCACCAACCCTCGGGCTAGATTTCAAAAAGTCTAGATGACTAAATGTATATACACAGCCTGTAAGTTGTTGCCTGCGGTTGTTTACTTGTATAAATAAAATGTTAAACTCCTAACCATTAAAATAATCAGACAAACCTGATTCCGCGTCACACTGTGAGATCTGAGATGGATTGAGATGTGTGGGGTGTGAAACTGATCCGGTGAGCAGAGGGTTAAACAGCAGGTTTCAGCACGGAAACTCAGGAGACGTTTCTGAGATGTTTCTGCAGACGAGCGTTCGGGTGTGAAAGCCCCTCAGTTCGCTGCTGTGCTGAGTTATTGTCTATTTTTAATGATCGGTGAGGCTGCGCGCTCTTGTTTTAGAGAAATGAAGGCATCCTGCACCAGCGATGCATCTGAAACGGCATCTACTCCAGCAGCTTAAAGCCTTCTGCGTCTGTCCACCACTTCTGGCCCAATTACCACGACATGGAAAGGTGTTCAGAGCGAGACAAAGAGCGCACATCAAAACCAGAAGATAGTCAATGTTTATGAGCCTTATACATACGCAAGAAAACGTACTTTATAATTATTCATGAAGTAAATTCGATTTTTCGCAGGCAGAAAAATCTAAAATCAGTTTATTGCAGTCAGCTTCCGAAACAAAAAGGTACAAGACCGCGAAACCGATCTTAAAAGCCGGCCAAAATATTGGAAACACCAAAAATGAATCAAAATTGGTACATTCTGCGGTGAATCTTACGATTACAATCCGCCGAATAATCGAAATAAATAAATTAATTTTATTCAACCGAGAACAAACTACATTGACCCGAGTAACTGAAAAAAATGACTAAATAAGGAAAGTGCAAGAGCTAAATAAACTAGAGATGCGCATCTTTAAACAGAAGCACTACAAATGCAATAATGTGCAAAATCTATACTAAAATGAACTAAAAATAATTTAAAAACGAAACCTAAAAGCTGGTGGAAATGCGGTGAAATGTTCCCATTAAAAAGTTCCCAAAATAAAATGCGATGTCTGACATCATTGCGTCTTTTGTTAAACTTTCCTACCAAAAATAGATAAACAATTAAAAAAAACAAAACGAAGAGGACGTAAAAAAAGGTTTATGAAAAGCACATTTTATTACACATCTCATACCAGTGCCATGTAGACAATTTTATACAAGATACATCACAATCTAAAGTGCACAAATACTGTACAACCAGGGGATCTTAAATTAAAGGGGAGGAAAAAAATTCACATTGATTTTTTGATATATATAATATATATTTAAAAAAAAGATTAAAATCAGCTGAATGCTTTTAAAAAGATAAAAGAACCCCCCCTCCCCACAAAAAAAGAAAAAACCTCTCCCATCTTTCACAGAACTGAATCATCAACACCAAGTAGGAGCACATAGCTTTGGCACCTGCAGTTAAAAAGATATTTTAAAAATAAAAAGATAAACAAAAGTAAATTTAATCTTGGCAAAGCACTTTAAAATAACAGAGAGAGAGGGGCGAGAGAGACAGATAGAAAGAGAGAAAGAGAGAGAATATTAATGCATCAGGATGGCGTTTAGTTTAAGGGCTGGTGTAGAAGGCGTAGTAGCCCAGGCCTTTAGGATGCTCTTTGCTGTATTCCTCAGCACTCAGGTCCTCGCACTTTATAGTCGGAGATGCGTCCGTGCTGGACCCTCCGGGCGACAGGCGGCGTCTTTTACACACCATGGCGTAGTCGCTCGAGTCCACAGGCTTCAGCCCTGGGGTCGTCTCGAGCCCCCATGCTCCGCTGGTGCCCGCAGACCCCTCGTCCTGTAGCTTATCTTTAGCAGCCAGCGGGTCGTCCACGAAGGCCGGTGGGCTGGGCCTGGGAGACCAGGGCAGGCCAGTGGTCATCTTCCGTTGGTAGCTGGAGCTCCGGCTGGTGCCCCAGCCGGCCGCTGCCATGGAAGCAAAGGAGTCTGGGTAGTAGCCCAGGGCGTGGGGGCTTTGGAGAGGCAGGGGTTTGATTCCATAGGGCAGCAGGCTGGAGGCAGAGTAGTCGGTGTCATAGGTCAGGTCAAGCTTGGCTGAAGCGCCACCCTGCTGGACGAACCAGCGGCCTGCAGCAGAAGAGGCGGCAGAGTCATCGGCCTGTGGGGAGAGGAGGCCATTGGTCTGAGGGACGGCCCGCTCGCCCCCGTACAGGCGGTGGTTCTGCGGCAGGTTGTTGACGAACTGGTCCTGGAAGAATGGCTGCATGGCATAGCGAGCGCCTGGAACGATCTGGTGGGAACGAGGGGAGTCGGTGGGGGACGGGGTCAGCCGGTCACTCTCAGGAGCCGTGTACATCCTGAGAGAGAGAGAGAGAGAGAGAGAGAGTTATTGTGTGCTGATCTTACTGTTAGTATGTTATTTGATACAGTCATTCCAATAAAGCTATCTAGAACTAAACTGAGAGAGAGAGAGAGAGAGAGAGAGAGAGAGAGAGAGAGAGAGAGAGGACAAAGAAAAACAGAAAAAGGGGAATTAAAAAGAAAGAAAAAAGAAAACTAAGATAGAAAAAATGAGAAACAAAAGAAACAAAGAAGGGGATAGAAAGTAAGAGATGAAAGAAAAAGCACAAAAAAAAAGAGGGAAAGAGGAAAAAAGACTATAAAAACAGACAAAGAAGAGGGAAAGAAAAAACTGACAAAATAAAGAAAGAAAAGTGTGATGGAGAGGAAGACAATAAGATAAAACAACCAAAGAGAAAAAAAACAAGACAAAATGAGAAGAAAATAGGCAAAGCAAGAGAAGTGAAAAAAAGAAAGAAAAAACACAGAAAAGGACATGAAAAAAGAGAGATAAGAATAAAGACAGAGGCAAACAAAGACAAAAAGAGGAAAAAAGAGAGGGAAAAGAAAAATGATATAGAAAAAGATGAAAATAAAAAGAAATAGAAAAAAAGAGGGAGTGTGCTTCCTTCATATTTCTTAATTTCTGGGCAAATGATTATTAATACTTGAGCACTTAACATTAAAATATTTGTATTAAATATTTTAATTTGTATTTTTAATTAGAAATTGTTTTGAAGTGAATCAAACTGACTTGAATCAAATGAAAGTTTAATTGAAACCTGAAACTATAAAGATTTCAGAACCAATACAAAAGACAGTAATCAATTATTCATCCATAAACTAAACATAAAATACATGAGTATAACATGCTTTGCTGTAATTGTTGTTGACTGAGGCCTTCAGCCAATGAGACACTTACGAATCATAATTATCTCTGAAGCCTTTGGCGAAGGGGTTGTGGTCAATCTTCAACTGTGTGATCTAGACACAAAACAGAAGAACAGAACTTTTTTTCAAAAGCAGATGGCTATCGGGTCGAGAGAGGGGAAAAAAAAAGCAGAAGGAAGTGGAGGTGGTCAGTGGTGTTTTTCGCTTACATCTGTGTTCTGGTAAGCGGTGACCGCGATGAACTGGTTTTCTGGGAAGGTGAAGGTTTGAGTTTTAGCTTCAGTGCTCATGTCCTCCACGCCATCCTCGCTGACCTCCACAATGTGCAGCCTGGGCTGGTACTTATGGAGGGACTGCAGGACGATCATCTACACACAAGCAGAGGAACATGAATGACCACACATTGTTAGTAATTCTGATATGTTTAATGTGAATCCACTGCAGCTGTAGACCTGAACTGACCCTGAAGGGTAACTGTCAATAAGGGGCATCTTTACTGTCAATGATATGCAGGAAGACATACACACATGCACACAAAGCTGGTAGCTGTGCAAAGGCTGCAGGCCGGATCGGATGCTGCAACACAAAGGCAGATAGACACACTCTTTGAGGTGTCAAACCACCACGGAAGGCCAGAGCTAAGAGTGATGACGTGCAGACTTCAACCAGAACGTACACTATCACCTCAACCCTGCACACCCCCCCCATCACCCACCAAACTGCTCTTATCCTTTCATAAAGTCAACGTTAATGCAAGATAGTGGCCTCAAAATGTCTACTTCACTGAAACTCCAGCAGTGGCACCAACACAAATCCAGATTATGAAGATCTCGACTACACTGAGGGCCCATTATTAAGTCTAAACCTGGACACCACACTCTCAGAAATAAAGGTAGTAAACTCTTACTGGGGCAGCTCCCATCTTGTCACTGGGATGGTACCCTTAAGGGACCATTTCAGTACCTTTATCCACTGAAATCGACTGAAATGATATTTTCTAAGCTGAACTGACTCCTCACACCCCGTCTCGTCTCCAGGCTTTTTATTTTACTGTTATTCATTTTAGGTTATGAAAAAGGTACAAATACAAACTTTTCACCTGGAAAAACATATTTAAGGTTCACAATCAGACCTTAAAACCACTGTTGTACATTTGAGGGAACATTTACATTGTTTGTACCTTGATGAACAAAAAAAATGTACCTGCTCAGAACCTTTATTTCTAACAGTGTATGTTAGTGGCTACTAAAGCTTCTCAGAAGCAGTTTGGTGTTAAGGGAGTCTTAGCTGTTGGAGAACCTTCCAGAATGTTCCTCCCTCTAGCAGCTTCAGTCACTTCAAAAGCTCTAGGGGTCATTTCACAAAGCAGAGTCTCTCATTCATATTTCTCATAACTTAAGCCTAAAGTCAAGCCTGTCCAATCCTTGCTTTGGGTTTCAGCATCCCTTATGAAAAAGATCTACAGGACCTTCTGCAAAATCCTCAAAAAAATCTTGTAGTAAATTAATAAAATTCCTACAGGATGCTAGATAGATTACAGATTACAAAAGTATTGAATATAAATCAATATAAGTGCATACAGGATCTTAGTTTTACTGTAGATCTCCTTGTAAGGCTTTACTGAGAAACTGTGTCGCCCAGGTTACTTGGTAGACCTGGTCTAGCTTTGTGACCGTAAATGTGAACATGCTCTTCTTGAAGCTTTGCAGTAAAAGTTCTCCTACACATTTCACACTGTGCGAGGTTCCTTCACACCACCGCTCGAGGTGTTTACCTGGGTGTTGTTGTTGTTTGCTCCTTTGTTGTTGGTCAGTTTCAGCTTGCTAAAGGAGATCTCCTGCCTCATCCAGTGAGCCCCCGTGTTTGGAGATTCAGGGTGGACATACATTTTGTTCCCTGGAAGAACACAAGAAAATGAAACCAAGATCAGACAGTTAAATTGAACCAAATAAAACGAAGACAAGTCCAATAGGTTACAGAAAGCATCAACAGTGGTGGAGTAGTTAGCTTTCTCTTCTTTCTTTTTCTTTTTTATAAATCGTGACAGCGTCTCTGCCTGTCCTGAATGATAAATAAATGAGAGAAATTCACACTTCCAGCCTACGCAGGTTGAGACACTCTGCTTTGCAAAATACTTCTCCAGCAAGAAAAGACCGCCAGCAATAATGATTCATTTAATTAAGCAGTCTGAATAATAAAGTCAAACAAAAAAACACATTCGTTTTAATCGTTCATTTAAATCATTGAGTTAGGGCAAACTGTGCAAGTGTGTAAGTGGGAAAGTTGGCTTGTGCTCATTTGAGAAAGTGATGCTACAAACTCCTTAGTATTCAATCTTTACAATTTTCTAAATGGAATAAAAATGTATTTCGTACTAAAACGTCAGTATTTTTTCTGTATGTCTCAAAAATTTGTTATTTCATCTTAATTTTCTGTCATGTATTGTATTTCCAACAACTGCATGTCTTGTCTTATTGCGCACACTCAATTTCTTAATTTCCAAATTTAGCATTAAATTTAATTAATGCACGGCAAACATGCTGAACCCCTAAGAAAACAAAATTTAAATTACACTTAACGAATTAATCATGAACACAGTGTCAGACAAACACCTTCAACTGTCGCTCCATTCACACTTCACTAGACACCGTTTGAAACCAATTTCAAACGGGATATAATAACCACAAAATAGGTAACACTGCTTAAACACACAATTAAAGAGGCGCCCAATCTCTTCAGGTTGCTACATCTTTATCCTTGGTGTCAAGTTGGGAGCAATTGTAAACCTCCAGAAAATGATTACAATTTAAATTATTATCCAAGTTTTTCAGTGGCCAAGAAACGAAAATTAATCATTTATTTAGCGACGTTAAACACTAAATGGGATCAAACTGAGCACAAAGATAATAGGAGGGTAAAGCTTTGGAGAATGCATACTGCTTTGGCACCTTCCATTCATATCACTTTCATTTTTAGAGTTTCGTATTTCACGCACATTTTATTTTATGCGTCAACAGTAAAAATGAAAGCAGATAAAATGATCCGCAAAGCAAGACAAAAAATGAAGTCAGTGTGAGATCTCACTACAGCCAGTGTCCGCGCTGCTGGACAATCACTTCATTCATCATTCAGAATGTAGAGTACGTTCACCACTTTTAAAGCATCTTAATAAAAACTTTAAAATAATAAAAATAGCGTATGTTTGAAATTTTACATTGCGGTAATAATTGCATGTATTTATTTAGTGTTGACACCGAAAAAAAGTGCATGTAGGCAGTCTGCATCTTTTCATCTCTCTGAGACGCCTTTCAAACAACAACCCTGAACACTCTTCACCTCAAACACACACGAAAGCGCGCGCTCATAACTGCTCCGTTTTCACACACACGGCTGAGTTTAAAGCGCTTGAAAATCACACCCCGAAACGGGCCGCTATTGGAGAGGTTTCCCTTCACACTAGGGCTCACGCGCAGGCTCTTTCTGCTGCATGAGGCGTTTGGAAAGTGTTCAAACGGTCACGTTTCGAGCCTCTTTGTTTCAAAAGTGAAAAAGTGCATAATTAGTGCAAATGGTGTTCCAGCTTGAACGCGCGTGTACGGCCCGCTCACCCTGCATGTTGTTGTCCGCTTTGCCGCAGGTCACCCATTTGCCCCCTTGGAAGCGCCAATGGTTGGGGTCCGCGAGGACGATCTCCACGAAGACGTTATAGTGCGCGGTCAGGCTCAGGCCGGTGATGTTGAAGCTTAGGAAGGGAAACATGCGCCTGTACACGCGTAAGAAGAGAAAAACAACAACAACAACAACAAAAAAGAAAACACAGTAAATACAACCTTCAACATACAAGTTTTAAATTATTTCAATATTTCAGAATGAAAAATATCAAAAGAAATAGAAATTTCACAATCTAAAGCCATCAAATGTTTTCGAATTGTACCTGAACTCATTATAACAATTTTTAAATACTACTACTATACTACTAATAATAATAATAATAAAAACAAGAAGAAAAAGAAGAAAAATAAATGCATTTATATACACGTTGTTTGTTGTGATAATTTCTATGTTATTCTTGGAGATAAATAAAGCGGCTGGGAGATAACCTGCTGTTATACTTAAGCACTTTCGGTTTCTTTGCATTCATAAAATTGAATTGAGGTTTTTTTTTTTTTTTTGCATGCATGCATGCATGCTTCGTTATAAAAGCGTATATATTGTGTATATATATATATATATATATATATATATATACACAAACATGTCATTTACTAAATGCAAGAAAGAGAAAATTGCCTTATGTTTAGATGCAATGATGTTTACAAACATTGTCATTCATTCAGTCCAGTCATTCTGCACTCAGAAACACGGTTTGTTTTGTATGCTTTTGTATTTGGGGCCAGTCTTGTTGTGTGTGCGCACATATTTGTTACATGCATAAACAAAAATCACGGCTTAATTATCTGTATATTTGGAAACGAGGGTACAGTTATGCATTTATGTCAGAATCTATTTTTACTGACAGGAAGCACCGTGATATCAACTTATGCGGTTATGACTGAATTTTCATGCAAGAAAACTGTTTAGGCTTTTATGTTTGCATGGCACGCGCAGGCCTGTGCAATTATGTTGGAAAACATTCACCTTTTTTTCAAACGGAATTGCTTTTGCATGCACTAGCCGCATATAATTTTGCGGTTACATCAGTGCTACAATGCGGTAGTATTTATTCGTTTGCACGCTCTTTTTTAACGCATGCAAATTTGCGTGCAAACGAATAACAGTGTATTTGGACGCATTTGTGTGCGTGCATTTGTTCGCCCTGCCTCTGAGCGCGCGCCTCACCTGCCCTGCTTGGTGATGATCATCTCGGTCTGGTGCCTGTGGAACTTGAGCCACAGCGGCCTGTTGCAGAGATACACCTGCGCCCGCTGAGCCCCAGGGTAGGAAGGGTACAGGCACGCGGGACCCTGCGCGTGCGCGAACTGGTAACCGGCGGCCGCCGCGGCGGCAGCGGCAGCGTGTGGCGGCGGGAACTGGCCTCGGCTCGCGCACACGGAAGATGGGAAGCCGGAGACCGCGTGAGGGGGCAGCGGCACGGGGCCGTAGTGGAGCGAGGATGATGACGTGGAGGAGGACGACGATGACGAGGAGGACGAGGAGTAACGGGACGGCGCGCTCGAGCCGCCGTAGCACGCGCCACCGGCGGCCCCGGCGACCCCCTGCGCGCCACCGCCGCCGTAGGGGAAGAGCGAGCAGCTGACCGGATCCTGCGCGCCGAAGTACAGCAGCTCTTCCGCGCCGTAGCGCCTTATGGGTAGCACGTCTTGCCCCGCGTCCTGCTCTGGGCCCTGCTCGCGCGCCGCCGCCGCTGCGCTGGAGCTGCCGCCGCCGCTGTTGCTGGTGGTGTTGCTGGATGGAGGGGGGCTCCTCGCGCCCTGCTCGCCGTCTGTGGCCCCGCCGCCTCCTCCTCCGCCGCTCCCGCCGTACTTCTTGCCGGTGTCCGGTTCGTCTGGACTGGCCGAAGCGGACGCAGCGCTGTCCGAGGAAGAGAGAGGGGGGTAGAAGGGCTTGGGCAGGGGCAGCGGAAGGGGCACGGGACCCCCACCCGCCCCTGCAGCCACCAGACTCTCCAACTGCATCGCTGAGGGGAGTAAAGTTAAAATTTTACAATCTTTCTCTTTTTGTTCTTGGTGAAAAATTGCGCACCAGGAGCGCAGCGCACCACTCCGTCACGCACACGCGCGCGCGCGCCTGGGGAGTAGCAGAACGTGAGATGTTGCCCCCCTCTCAGTCCTGCACCTCTTCTCTTTCCTTCTTTCTCTGTTTGGACCCAATAAGAACTAAAGAGAAAGTTTGGAGTGCACTTTCGCTCTTCTCTGTCCTCTCTCTCCGCTGCGGGTCTTGGCTTTTCTAGCGCTTTTCTGGCTCGTGTTGGACAGAGAGGTGTTTCAGGGGCGTTTATATATGCACGCGCTGCCAGCACGAGTGGGAGGAGCCTCGGAGGGATTCCGCCTCTCTGCACCGCCTCTCTGCGCCGCTATTGGAGGAAAAAAAGAATAGAGTAAGTAAATAAATAAATACAGTCAACAGTCCAGCGCTTTGAGCTGCTCGATGGAAAAACAATGTAGTTTCAGAAACTGATTATTTTTGTTTTTTAATAGTAATTTTCTTAGAGGAGTTTGTGAGGTTGCCCTGAAACCTCAGCAACAAACAAACAAACATACATACACACACACACACATTCTCGAAGGCCGCAAATCAGCCAAACACACACACGTGCGCGTGTAAATCAAAAAGAAAAACAATGAAGACTGATTTCAGGTTCAAAACACAATCAAACCCTCAGCAGCTACAAATCTAGCCCATAATACTCCCAACACTGACCTCCTACAGCGGCCTGGAGGGCTCGGGCATGAAGGATCGAGTGTGTTGTGCGCGCGCGAGGGGGGCTAAGGTGTAAAAAAAACGCGCTCACACACTCTTTCTGCTTTCTCCTCCTGATTCGGTAATCATTCGCAGCACGTGCGCCACACGGGCGCGGCGCGTCACGGTTCCGGTTCACGCACTACTGTCCCCGCCCCTGACCTGACCCCCCCACCTCCTCCTTCGCGAGACCTACCGGGGCAGGTAGGTCAATTTAAATAAACAAATAATTCCATAAAAACAAAATTAATTAATACATAAAAACAAACCGACAGAATTTTAACGAAATGTAGAATCATGAATTTAAAAATTATTCTTTAAAATAAAACTTTTTTCACGGCTCTGTTTTTATAGAACAGAGTAAAGTGTGTTCCAAAAAAAAGCACAAAAAAATATGCATTAAAGTGTAAATTTACTTATGATGTTAAAATTTGTAAATTTATTTAATGATTTAATTACGCGTTGGCAAAAAAATAGAGAGCATATGAAAAAAGAAAAGTCATAAGTGATGCATAGCGCGACAGTTTGAAATCAGACAGAGGGGAAAATAATAAAAAAAAATAGAATAAATAAATAATATTAATAATTTGAAATTGAATAAATAAAGTACGCTGTTTTGGGCTGGAGATTTAGCACAACACTAAACACCGGAGAGAAAATACGGTAATGATGATGATGATGATGATGATGATGATGATGACGAAGAAAAACATGACAGCGCGAGCGCACAAAATCATTTAAATCGGCCCCAGAAAACCGTCTCGGGCTCTAAACGGAGGAGTAAAGAAGTCCAGAGTGCAGCGGTGATCTCATCCTCTCTTCACTGATGAGCTCCATGTAAAGTATACATTTTTATATTTTTTTATATTTCCAGCCTTGTTGGACTCGTTTCTCGGAGCCGAGAGGAAAAGAGTGACGCTAATAAAACGCGCACGAACGAACAAAAACACTCACACTGACGCTTAAAAACACAATCAGGAAAAATTAAAATAAAAGAGAAACACGGTCTGAATCATTTCAGCCGTTATTCATAACAGTGGATCATTTACAGCACGTGAGAGAAAACGCAGCTAAAAATTATCAGGCAAGAAGAGTTTAATCGTTTCATAATTAATATTAATTAAAACAATAACAGTGAAATTCTATTATTAATAAAGGTTAAACGGTGAAGTGTCGCTGCTGATAGAACTCCAACTACTGACAGATGATGGAATTACACCTAAATTAAACACCACACACAAACACACGCGCGCTCATCAGCAACCACACAAACACATACACCACACACACGCTCAGTCACGAGCACCCTAATTTAATTCATTATTTAATTCTGTATTCAACTAATAAGTAAATAAATATCTGCAAGAAATAGTGTTTCGTCTTCTCAGTCTTTAGATTGTGGATGCAGAAATGCGCGAGCAGAATCTGAGCCAAACACACGCACTGGTGTGTGTGTGTGCGCGTCCACGCGCGCTGAGGGATGATTATGCGTTCTCACCTGACAGCGCGCGGTCCCGAGTGCCGTGTAGTTTTTTAGAGTGTGAGATTCTCCATGATGAGCTCCAGCGACAGAGCACGAGAGAGAGAGAGAAAGAGAGAGAGAGAGCGAGAACAGTATTGAAATATCTACACCTCCAAACATCTCCAAAAATCTACATCTACAAATATCTACACCTCCAAACATCTCCAAAAATCTACATCTACAAACATCTACATCTACAAACATCTCCAAAGATCTACATCTACAAACATCTACACATCCAAACATCTCCAAAGATCTACATCTACAAACATCTACACATCCAAACATCTCCAAAGATCTACATCTACAAACATCTACACATCCAAACATCTCCAAAGACCTACATCTACAAATATCTACACATCCAAACATCTCCAAACGTCTACGCATGCCCAGTAATACCCACTCTGAAGTCTTCAGTTTTATTACAAGACAAGTCAAGTTTATTTATGTATAACTCCCACACAAAGGTCATTCAAACTGCTTTACGTACACAAATAAAAACGTCACATTTCACTGCGACTGTGATGGTAAAACAGCAATTAAACAAAAATAAAATATCATTTGAAATATAAAAATAAAGACAATGCTTTAAAAAAATAAAAAATATTTAAAAAATTTTAAAACATTAAAAATAATTTAAAATTCATTATATCGTATTTCCAGACCCCATACAAGCTGAAGCATACACTCTATTACGCCCCTGCCAGCTTTTACTGTATGAAGAAAGATGTGAAAAGAAGATAAGCTAAAATATTAGAGCAAGTGATAGGCTGTTCTGAGTATTTACAGTGATTTAAACTGTGTTCATATTAAAGCACATGCTTCACATTTACTCCTGTATGACTGTGTGTTTAAAAGATTTCATTTGATTGTATGTGCATCTATGTGTAGTTTATGTGTATGTGTACTGTATATGTCAGTGGTGGAGGCGGAAATTTCATTTTTGGGGGGTCCTGGTTACGGGCTGAGGGGGTCAACCAGTACTTATCATGCCCCAGAGTCATCACCATAGTGATGTGATACCTACCACTAGCCCACTTCATTATCTGTTAACCACACTCTTTTATTCACTCAAGGTGGAAACCTTAACATTGCATTTAACTGTTAGAAATGGCCAATTTGACACTCTAAGAAATAAGGTACTAAACTGTCAGTGAGGTTGACCCCTCAAGTAACTGGCGTGGTACCATCAAGGGTAGGCCCTCAGTACCTTCAGTTAGGAAACATAATTGGACCATATTCAATTGCAATTAATTTTTTAATGTTGCATTGATTCCATACACCTTGTCTTTTATTGTATGTTTCTGTTTTTAAAATGATGGGGTATGAAATACTATATCTATGCAGATTTTCTCTGGGAAAGTAAATGTAGTGTCCCTTTAAATCATATTTAGGGTACAAAATTGGAACTTCAAACATCTACATCTTCAAACATACACCTTTCCAGACACATCTGGATCTTAAGACTATTATTGTACCTTTCAGAGTACATTTCCATTGTGTGTACCTTGGTGTACAAAATGTATTTGTAAACTTAGCTCGTGTTCTCTAAGGAAAAAAGACACTGCTATCCCACACACTGTCAGAAAGAAAGATTCTGTGCAGGTACATTTTTCGTTTATCAAGGTACAAACAATATAAATGTTCCTTCAAAGGTACAACAGTGGTTTTAAGTCCTGTTGTGAACCTTAAATAAGTTTGTCTAGGTGAAAATTACATATTTGTACCTTTTCATGACCAAATACCTTAAAACAGAGCAATAAAATAAAAAGCCTGGAGACGAGACGGGGTGTGTGGAGAAAATACAACTTAGAAAATATGATTTTAATGATGTGGTACAATATGTCCTCTGACTAAAGGTACTGAAAAAGGTACTGAAAAAGGTACCCTTGAGGAAACCACCACAGTGACAAGAGGGGGACTGCCCCAGTGACAGTTTAGTACTTTTTTTCTGAGAGTGCACTGTGGTAATTAAATTTTTTTTTCTGTGTATGTTTTTCCCTCGAGTGTCACAGGATTCTCTGAATTATGAGGTCATTAAGGAGTCAAAATATGAGTAATGTTACCTATGTTACACTGTCAGAAAAAAGGATACTGCACAGGTAAATTTTCATTCATCAAGATACAAACAATGTAAATGTAAACACATCCTCAAAGGATCAACAATTTCAAGGTCCAATTGTGTAGCTGACATTAGTTTTAACATTCACTTTTCTGGGGGAAATGTGCACATATGTGCATGTTTATAACCAAACATTTGAACTTAGAAAAAAAAAGCTTAGAGTCAAGGCAGGGTGTATGACATCTTAAAAAATGGAGAATTAAAAAACAACTGTAGTGGAATAAATTACAACAGTGTTCATTAACTAAAGCCAATGAAAACATACCCCTCTAGATCCCTCTCCAGTGATGTGAGGGGTCCATCCTAGTGATGTGAGGGGTGCCAATCCAGAGATGTGAGGGGTACTACTCTAGTGATGTGAGGGGTACCACTCCAGTGATATGAGGGGTACCACTCTAGTGATGTGAGGGGTACCACTCCAGTGATGTGAGGGGTACCAGTCTAGTGATGTTAAAGGTACCACTTTGGTGATGTAAGGAGTACCACTCCAGTGATGTTAAAGGTACCACTTTGGTGATGTGAGAGGTACCACTTCAGTGATGTTAAAGGTGCCACTTTGGTGATTTGAGGGGTACCAGTCCAGTGATGTTAAAGGTGCCACTTTGGTGATGTGAGGGGTACCACTTCAGTGATGTTAAAGGTGCCACTTTGGTGATTTGAGGGGTACCAGCCCAGTGATGTCAAAGGTACCACTTTGGTGATGTGGGGGTCCCACTTTAGTGACAAGAAGGATACCATCCCAGAGATGTGAGAAGTACCATTTCAGTGATGTGAGTGGTACCACTCCGGTGACGTGAATGGTTCCACTCTAGTGATGTGAGGATACCACTCCAGTGATGTGAGGGTACC